GATGTCGCGAATGTGCGCTGCGGACTTCATACTCGTTGGGAAATGCGACTCCATGGTCTGTGCCCGGAGCGTTCCCCCATTGTAATTCTGGCTCGAAGGTGTTCCTGTGTCATCGCTCGGAGCGTAGTTACATTGTGTTTTGCAAGCTTTGGTTGCTAATCGCCTTATAGTTCTGGCTCGAAGGTGTTCCTGTGTCATCGTTTGGTGCGCAGTTACGTGGTGTTTTGCAAGCTTTGGTTGCTAATCGCCTTATAATTGCTACTGCAATGGTTTCCAACGTACTTTTTTTCCAAGTTTTGCCGCTTTCATTTTTCTTATAAATCTCTTTTAAAAAACGCTTCGAAATCGCAATTTTTGGAGCTTGGACGTCGAGATCCGGTTTTGGGAGGCTATTCTCTGTGCTTGCGGTGCGCAGTTACATGGTGTTTTGCAATCTTTGGTTGCTAATCGCCTTATAGTTCTGGCTCGAAGGTGTTCCTGTGTCATCGTTCGGTGCGTAGTTACAGGGTGTTTTACACGCTTTGGTTGCTATTCGCCTTATAGTTCTGGCTCGAAGGTGTTCCTGTGTCATCGTTCAGTGCGTAGTTACGTGGTGTTTTGCAATCTTTTGTTGCTAATCGCCTTATAATTGCTGCTGCAATGGTTTCCACCATGTCTGGTGTAAACCATGTCTGGTGTAAACGGTGTCTGGTGTAAACGCTGTCTGGTGTAAACTGTCTATGGTGTAAACTTTTTCTGGTGTAAACCTTTGTTGGCTTTGTCTGGTGTAAACGACGTCTGGTGTAAACCGTGTCTGGTGTATACGGTGTCTGGTGTAAACGCTGTCTGGTGTAAACTGTCTCTGCTGTAAACTCTTTCTGGTGTAAACCTTTGTCGGTTTTGTCTGGTGTAAACCTCGTCTGCGGTAAGACCTTTTTGTCTGGTGTAAACGGTGTCCGGTGTAAACGCTGTCTGGTGTAAACTGTCTCTGCTGTAAACTCTTTCTGGTGTAAACCTTTGTTGGCCTTGTCTGGTGTAAACGACGTCTGGTGTAAACCGTGTCTGGTGTATAGACGGTGTCTGGTGTAATCGATGTCTGGTGTAAACTCTTCTCTGGTGTAAACCTTTGTCGGCTTTGTCTGGTGTAAACTTTTCCATGGTTACTTCGTCTGGCGTAAACAACGTGTGGTGTAAACCGTGCCTGGCGACATGCACCATCATCATCATTATCATCATCATCATCATCACCTTCATCATCATCATCAGCATCATCATCATCATCCTTATCATCCACATCATCATCATCATCCTCATGATCATCATCATCGTCGTCAGCACCATCATCATCATCATCATTACCAGCAGCTACGTCATTGCAATCGTCATCGACCTCATCGTTAGCTCATGATCACAATAGCATATCACGTGCGTATCGTGAGATCATCATCTCATGGCACATCATATTTTCATATTTGATGTCATGTCATATTTTCTTTCACGGCATGAGAGTTACATGTGTTTCAGGTTGTGTTGTATTTGTATACTTGGCTTGAAATAGACCCAGCTGACTCGATGTGTTATTGTAGCTGATTGGATTTTTTCCGTCGTTTGCATCGGCATGACGGTGACGGCTTTAGCATGATCAGCATCAGATTTGTTGTTACAGCTGCTTGAATTTTTTCCTTTGTTGGCATCATCATGACGGTGACAGCTTTTAACATGATCAGCATCATTGACACACGCTGTGCCATCGCAGGGACGGCATTGCTCTCATGGTTGCAAGTTATCCGCAGCTTTGAAGACGAATTATTAGATCGTCCATTCCCTGCTTTGCGTCATGACAGACCTCCTACCGTGGAATTCCGAGGTTCGGAGCTGGGTAAATGCATGTGAACGGAAAATTCAAACGGCATACTCTCGCCTGCCATGGAAGCCGCTGGACTGGAAGACACACAGTCATGACTACAATTTTGGAGATATCACTGCCTGGCCACTGGATGCCAGCTGCATTACCTTGGGAGGGGATGCCATCTTCCTCGGTAGTGTCAAAGCGGCTGTCAACATTGAAGCGGTGGAGGTGGAGTACACGACAAAGATCTCCCATGTCGTGACCCTGTGTGGGAACGAGATCCAGGTGCGCGGCGCGCCGTCAGATTTGCCCACCTATTTTGAACGTTGTGGCGTCGCTCATATCTGGTGGTTCATCGAGGATCCCACAGTCAAAGACCCAAATACAGAGCTGGCGAAGCATCGTCAGTCTGCCGGTGAATGTTTAGCTTTCTGGAAAGATTTGATGCATGTTCTTTGGGATGTGGCCTCCTACTACTGGAACCACGACATCAGGTTTACGCCTTTGTTTCATTGCTTTGGAGGCATCAATCGCAGTACCGCCGCGCTTTGCGCCTGGCTGGTGATCTGGTGGGATCTCAGTGTCGAGGATGCCATTGACTGTGTGCTCCAGCAGCGTCCAAGCCTGAGACCGTGGAAGCGACGAGCATATGTCTTGTATGCACTGCGATCCTTGGAGCATCACAAGCATGCCTGGCGTTGGGAATTTGAAACGTCGTGACCAAAGTGTCGACAAAAAGCTGTGAATTCGTGGCCAAACTGGCTAGAAGGACCTGGGTCCACGACCGGAAGTTGTTCGAAGTCGGCCCTTGTTCCGACTGAATGTGCAGAGACCCCATGAGGAACGGGATCCACGACCGAGAGTTGTTCGAAGTCGATCCTGTTCCGACTGGGTGCGCGAATATACCTGATAACCGATAAAATTGTGCAAACAGAGCTCTATAGACATCTTTTTTTTGTTCGATTGTTGGACTTGAATGATATTCTTTGCTTGTTGTGATTTGACCTGAAAGACCAGTTTCGTTTCCAGAGACATTGAGTCTTTTGAACAGGTTGAGCGGCAACAAGTGGGACCAAATGAAAGTGGACACCACGCAATGGAATTCCAGGAGGCCGGCATGTCGATGCCACATATAGTCACCAGCCACGAAGTTACAAGTATCGGCGAAAAGCTGTGAATTGGCTATTGCAAAGTGTCGTGACCAAACTGATTAGAAGGACCTGGGTCCACGACCGGAAGTTGTCCGAAGTCGACCCTTGTTCCAGCTGAACGTGCAGAGACTCCACAAGGCACGAGATCCACGACCGAGAGTTGTTCGAAGTCGATCCTGTTCCGACTGGGTGTGCAACTATATCTGATAACCGACAAAACAACACTAGTTGAACTGTGGGTAATTTGTTTTGTTTTTCAAGTGTTGCATTTGTATGAGCATTGGTTGTCCTGATGCCAGGTTGGGACGTGCGATTTCGCACACTTCGGCGGCTCTTACTACCGGGACTAGCGTTTGAGCTCGACCGGCGCTGGATAAAAAAGAATCGACCGGGACTACCGTTTGGGCTCCGAAGTACAGTGCAACAGAATATACATTAATAGATTTGGTAATAACGTGATAATAGTATCATAATCATAATGTATATATATATATATATAGATATATATATATTATATATTGTGTCATCTCATCATCATCTCATTTTGTTTCATCTTAATGTTTTGAATCATCATATATCATCTCTTCATTTCTTTAGTGCTCATTCATCTTCTGTTACTTCGCTTTTCTTCCCTTCTATTTGTTCTCTTCCGCCTACTTGCTTTCGGGCCACCCTGTCGTCTAGTTTAATGTGTTCACATGTGTTCACACATTGTTTGAGACGTGCTACATATATACAATATAATATTATTGTGATTGTTATGTCTCTCTTTCTTGCCCTTTGACACCTTTCTGTCTAAAAGACGCGCTTTCCACCCCCAACCACCAAGACCAGCCTGACCCACAGTGGCCCGGGCGCTCGGTCCACACGGCCCTATCCTGCGCTCGGGTTAGGCGGAGGTGAGCAAGCAGCTGCTGGAGGCACAGGCCAATCCGAATGTGACCGATCGATATGGGCAAACGCCCATTTTCTTTGCCCCCACTCGGCCTCCCAGCTGAGATGGTGCGGTTTTGGGATGGTGCGGGGTGTGGTGCCGGGTGTGGTGTCCAGGACGGGTTTGGACCGTGGACTGGACTTGCGTTCGCGACGCAGCTGGGCCAACTTAGGCTGATGTGCATGACACTGCAGAACTTCCAAGCCGATGTGAATGCCACCAACCGGAAAGGCCGGTTTGAAACGGCGTTCGTGTGCGAGTCAGTCGTGCTGGGTTGCTTCACATGGCAGGCGCACCGAGTCACCTAATCTTGCGGATGAAGCAGTCCCAGATGCTCCATGTATGCCATATATGCCTACATTGGGGTGGTTTTGGGGGGTCAATGCAGGCATATATGTTGTCCTTTGAGTTCTTTGGTGATGCTGGCAGGAGAAAAAGATAAGGCTTTGGGGGAATAGAACTCACTTCCACCTAGCTCAACCCACCAGCTACGGAGCACCGCCTCCAACCTGCGAGCTGCCTAACTCTTGGCTCCTTCCCCTCACCTACATGATAGCCAGCCCCCTCAACCCGGTTCCAGAATCCGAATCGGAAGCTGGACAACCGCAGCGTTTGCGCCTTCACAGCCCACGGTCATCCTGGAGTAGGCTTTTGGCCAGAAAAATAGTCTCCAAGCTTCACTCCTAGGTCCTATGCTCGATCTTTCCAAAAAGAATAGCAACAGGGGCTTCGACCCAAAACACGATCCGAAGCTTTCCACCATCGGAGTGGTAAACGCGGTGCACAGCCGCAGGGCAATCGCCGCTGCATTTGGCCGCCAAGGGCGGCTTAGGAGACGTGCTGCACTTCCTCAGTGCCAAGGCTCAAGGGAAACCTTAGGGAAACATGACACGGTGTTTTTTTTGTTTTTCGGGTGGAAGGAAAAAGGCGGGGTGCTGTGCTGTTCTTTTTGAGGGGTGCTTTTTGGGAAGTAAACGCAAAGTGAAATTGTAGAGGATCAAATAAGGATTATCGGCGCGGCCTTCCGCTTAAAGCTGACATGAACAATTCGATTTTCTGGGAAGGCTGAAGTAGCAAAGGGACTACTAGAAGTGTCAAGAAGCTATATACGTACATATACGTACTAGTAAAGCGTCCTCCCCTTTTTTCGGTTCTGTTCCGCCCCTACTGGTCTTGTCAGGTTATTCACGGTAAAGGGGTGCAGTATTTGGAAGTAACGACCCGGAAGCTTCATTTGGGTGTGCTTTTTGGAGCAGATAAAACTATCTCTGGCAAAATCCCAAGCAGACTCCAAAAACATAGCAAGGATCCCAACCAGGTTGGGGAGGTCCCCCCTATTGAAATACAAACAATCGTTTTTTTTTCGGATATTTGGAGTGCGGATTGCAGTCAGATGCTCCGTGTTTGCTCCGCCGTGTTCACCAAATCCCCCAGAACCCGCCAGGCCAATCCAAGCGTGCTGTCCTTGCGGGATGCCCGGTGACCTCAGTCTTTCCCAAACGCTCCATGGGACTGCCATAGGACTGCCAATCGGGGTGGTTGACTGGGGGTCAATGGATTGGCAGTCCTATGCCAGTTCCATGGAGCATCTGGGTTTGTAGAGACCGTGGACCACACAAATCACACATGAGATGCGTTACTTTATGCGTTATGTGATGATTGCAGACGTTTGTGTCGACCTGAATTCGAGCCAACCGCCGGTCACCACGACGTTTGAGACGTGTGCTCGACCGCAGAACCATGCGAGACCGCGCGTTCGCCCCTCAGGCCTCGGGACAACGCGCGGCGGACTACGCCAAAGCTGCGGGCCTCCACGCGATGTTGGGCAAACTGGAAGGACGCCGGACGGACGGAGACGGGCGGAAACGGTGATCGGTGGGAGTTCCGCCCTCTTTCGGGTGTTGGTTGGTGTCGGCGAGCGTGTTTTAGCGTTTTCTGGGTTTGGGATTGGGGTGATGAACAATCTGTTTGAAAGAAAGACCGGAACATGGAGGTCTTTAAATTAGCAGGTGCTGAGCAACAAGCAGAAGTGCTCCTTTCAGTGCCAATGTTTTGGGATGGTCTTTGTCATCATTCCAGATCTATTCGCAACAAATGGCACAGCAAACAACCCGGTCAACGCCCCATTTCTGAAGATAATCTGACTACCCAGAAGTGGTGGATCATGACTACCCAGTGTGGTACAAGGAGTCTTGTTTTGCTCGCTGAGCGCAGACGTGCTCCATGTCAACTCTGTTGTACCCAAGATGGAACGTGAACATGCTCTACCTGAAGCATCATTTGTAGCACTCTTATTGTGAGGAACAGGTGGTTTGTAGCACTTTTCAATGAACAGGTGGTTTGAAGTGCTGAGAGCTGCGATGCTGAACTGATGTCATGAGGCATCCTGGAAGAAACTCGCTTTTGAGCCGGGCGATTGTGACGATTTGGGTGGGTGCTCCTTCCTTTTGAGGACGCTGTTGAGGCGATTTGGAGTGTTACCCAGACACTCCATGGGACTGCCATATACGCCTACATTGACCACCCTAATGTAGCAGAAATATAGCAGTCCCATGGAGTGTCTGGGAATTGTGAAGGTTCACCGTTCTCACTGTACGGACGGAGCTCCGCCTTGCCTCGCGGGCGATGGCGCTGTACCGCGGCCAAGCCCGCCCGGAGGACAGGCATCGAGCCCCACGAGCCCCAGCCCTCGCAGTGCTGCCTCCTCTCCGGTCAATACCAGGCCTGACATACGTCGACGTATGGGCGCAGTATACGGGCGGGACCATTTCGACGCAATGGCGCTCTGCGAAAAGTGATGGAAATGTGAGGCATCCTGGCATCCGACAGTTCAAGTATACTCATAAGTGTTGACTCTTGATTTATTAAACCATCCATATGAAGAGGTGCTTCAACTTCAATGGGGTGGGTTTATTCATCAAGAAGTCTACGTCGTTAAGTCCTTGAAGTCCAATGACTTCCTTTCCAGGTGATGCACCGAGACCACCGCGGAGACCACCGGCCTCCGCCCCTCTGGGCGCCGCAGCCGCCGCTTAGCACGTGGCCCTGGTGCCCAACCGCTGCCGCTGGGTCCGGGGCCAGGTGCTAAGCTGCCGAACTCCGCCACCCAAAAGGGTGGAGACTGGGGATCGTGGCGCTGTCGAACAGAAAACAGGAGTGAAGAGAGGGAGGGCACCAGTATAAACCCTGATTCACCATCAGACATGTACATCATATTTATAGACATGTTGTTATTTAGATATGATATACTTTTAACATGTATATTTATACATGTATCATACATGTTTGCATCATACATGTGCTGTGTGTAACTGTGTGTTTCTGACTCTCCGTCGCCTCCGCCTTTCACCGCTTGCTCCGGACGCTTCGTCGCGGCGCAGGCGGAGGTCCGGCGACCGCGGCCAGCGCCCTGGGACGTGAAGATGGAGAGCAGCGAGGAGTGGTGAACGAGCGGTGAACGAGTCCGCCATGAGCGGGCCAGAACGGTGAACGAGTCCGTGGTTTGGAGATCCTTTGGATTGGTTTTTGTTTTTTTTCCTAATAAGCTGCTTTGTGAGCTTTCCCGGTTTACAAGACCAGGAGCTGTTTTGATAACCTAGTTGATCCTAGTTGCCTCTTGTTGGTTTATTTGTCACTTGAATGTCCTTTATTGTACACCGGGCTCGTTTTGGGTAGGCTCATGCTGCAGTCATGACAGCGGGGACATCCGGGAAGTCAAACAAATCCGATGAAAGCACGACAAGAAGTAGGTTTGTGCGAATGGAAGTGCAGCGACATGTACAGTGCAACTTGTACATATATATGTACCATATGTACTTTGGCTCAAGGATCAAGCGACTAGAAAAGGTGCGGTTTCCGTTCCGACGCTACGCCGCTTATGGACCGTCAGTGATAGCTTCAAACTTCGCTGATTAAGATCCACTCGCAGGTTATCAGCCGTACGCGCTCTTTATAGCCGTACGAGCTACACGAGACCAAGAACAAGACTAGTCATTACAGAAACCTGCAATGTCAAGCTCAGGAGGAAATGGAAGCGAACCCTATTCATTCGCTGCTCCTGGTGGTCCCAACACCATTTCGTCACCAGACTCTACAATGGGTACTGATTCATCAGCAAATGCTGACGTTATCACTATGCCTACTGGATCACAAATCTCGGAAAGATCCGTGCCACCGGCTCGGAATCTGACCGATCTTGCACCCGTAGGACCAAGAAGATCGATGAGAGCTACAACAAGATCTACATCGCCTATAACGTCTACCGCGAGATCCCCAAGAAGGAGTATAGAGAAGAGACGTGACGATGATAGAGGAACAAAAGAGCAAAGAAGAGAGATTCAGCTGGGTGAAGAATTGAGATCGGCGAGAAACGCATACAATTTTCTTCATGAAGAATATGAATGCATCCAAGCCGGATACTCACGACTACACCACGAGGCTGAAGTGGAGTTCAGGCAAATGTCTAACTACAACAGGAAGATGCAGGAACATCTACAAGAGATGACACAGGAAGATGAAGGAGCGACAATAAGAATTGAAGAGCTCGAACACAAGCTACGCTTGGCGGAATCGACAGCTGAACATATCTACATGAGATATCAAGAGCTTGCACAAGAAACTCATCAAGAACATTCAGAGCTTGAATCTGTGAAAGCAACGAAGGACAGAATGTCCCAAGAGCTTCAAGCAGCAATTGGACACATCCAAGAACAGAATGAATCTTCATTGGCGATCAATAGAAGATCAAAAGCCATTCAGGATGAGAACACAGCCTTCGTCGGAATAGCTGACCAGATACAAGCTAGAATGATTGCGCTACAGGATGAGAATGTCAACATGCACGAGGTGATCCAACACCAGAGAGAAGAACAATGGAACAGTGAGGTCAGGGAAAGACGTCTTCAACACAGCGTTCACTCATCTCAAGATCAGAGCAATCAGGAAGCTATGGTTATTGATCATCTACGAGGTCAACTAGCTATGGCACGTGGAGCTGAACTCAACGCGAGAGCGGAGATAGGAGAGATGGAAGTGGGCATGAGGATGGAGATGTTTGTATGCCAGACTGAAGTCTCTGCTAAAGAAATGGCAGAAATGAAGGCGAGCCACCATGAATACGAAGCAAACGTCGCAAAGGAGGTTATCGCAAAAGGAGAAATATTCAACAACGAAGTCCTAGAAAGTTTCATCCGTGAACGACAACAATTGAAAGACGTCAACCTCGCTCTATCCGAAGCCAACGCACAGCTGAAAAGAGAGAATACGATGAGAGCTCCTATGTTCGGCGATGATGGTGCTGAAATTCAACAGAAGATCAGAGAACTGGAGAATGCACTATTGGAAAGCCAGAAGGAGACAAAGAATGTCATTATGGAAAATGCGAAATTAAAAGCAGAAGCACGAATGGCACCCATAGTCTCTCGGTACAGCAAGCGTCCTAGTTCCAGAGACCGCGGGTTACCAACCCACGCGTCCGAGGAAGATGAGATTCGGAACGCAAAAGAGGAGGCGAAGCACTACAAGGACGGGTACAATGAAATGACAGAGAGCCGAGATGAGATGTATGAATGGTATGCAGAAACCCACAATGAGTACGCCGAGGAAAGGGAGAAATCAATTGAGCTATCCGAGGCGAACAAATCATTGAGGGACAAGATTTCAGAAGCAGAAGCATCCTCTTCATCTCATCTTACACCGGCAACCTCTACAATCATGAAAGTATCGAGGAAGGAAGAATCAAAGATAAACGTTCCGTCATGGCCCAGGATCAATGATCTTGGACTATGGAAGGCAAATCTCATTCAATCGATCATCATTGCGGCCAATGATTCAGATCAAGAGCCCTGGATCGACTGGATCAAAGAAGCCATGGACGATCCTGATCCGGACAAGTTTGTCGACTCAGGAGACCAAAGATTCCATTCAATCGATGCCAAACTCGGCCTAGCTCTTACCAAGGTCGTCATGGATGCGAAAGATGATGGTTCAGGTGTAGCTATGAAGTTGAGGACGAGGATCAATGCAAAAGGGAGAACATCAAGCCTCATAAAGGGAAGAGAGGTCCTAGCCCTGATCCTTATGAATTTCAAGACAACATCAAATGTGGAAGTCTTATATACTTCAATGCACCTCTACCAACTAGAATATCAAGGAGACAAGAACTTATCGTTGTTCTTCCACACTTGGGATGAGATTCTGGCAGGAATGAAGCCCGTTGACGTCCCGAGCGACGAAACTCTTCGGGATCTCCTATGGAGAAAGATCAGGAACTCAAACCTCATGGCATACGACATCAGCGCCTACAATAGCATGAACGACGATGATGCCAAGAAGACATACAAACATCTACGTGATATGATCAGAAGGCACATCGAACGGCAAACTGAAGACAGGATGATCCTGGAAAAGGAGAAGGCAGTGAAGAATGTGGCCAATATCTTTCAGAATCTCAAACCAGGCGGACCTGCTCCAAAACTGAAAGCTGCACCAGCTGATCCGAAGAAGAAACCAAAAGGGCAACAAGAACAGGTTGTCTCAGAAGACGCTGCTGCAGTGAAGCCGAAACCCAATCCCAAGAAGCATCCTGAAGACAAGAACAAAAAGGGAAAGGGGAAAGGTAAAGGTGATGGAAAGGATCGCAGCCGAAGTCCGAGTACAGACAAGAAGAAGATACCATGCAAATTCTTCGTGAAAGGTAACTGCACTATGGGGAAAGATTGCCCATTCAGTCACAAGAAACCCAGATCACCATCCAGAGGATCTTCTGTCGGAAAGAATGACAAGCCAGTATGTTGGATGTGGATTCGAGGAACTTGTGACAAAGGGAAGGATTGCAAGTTCTACCATGACCCAAAAGCCTCTCCTAAGAAAGGGATATCTGCACCAGCTGACTCAGGAGACGATAGGCCAAAGCCCAAGGCAAAACCCAAACCGAAGCCTAAGGCGAAGCCTGGAGCCCCAGCCATTGACGGTGAACTCTTCATGGACGAATCCGAAGATGAAGGGATTGCTGCATCCGCCAAGGCAAGAGAAGGAGGTGCAAAAGTATCCTTTGATGAAGAGACTTGTGAGATCATGTTGAACGAAGCGATCTACTCAGTCAGGGACAAATGGAAGGTAGTAGAAAAGAAACCTCTACGTCCGGACATCAAACGATACGATGAGAAAGAGCTCACCTGCTACACGAGGAAAGAACAAATCAGATTTGAAGAAAAGGTCGCAGAGGCGAGAGGCATATTGATGGTCCCCTACACTGAGATCAGGAGGGTCCGAATACCAGTTGGACCAAAGGGTGACCTATCGGTCACTATGTCTTTTGACGAAGATGACGGCCTAGTTTTCCATCATAAAGTCATTCCTCATGTATGCGAGGGAAAGAAAGATCATGCAGACACAAAGACATTGTCTATTCGAGCCAAAGGGTCAAGAACAAAGTTCATCATGGACACAGGATGTGGGTATGATTTGATATCGAAAGGCAGAGCCAAGAAATTAGGTCTGGAAGTGAGAGAAAGCGACCAATCAATGTCATTCTATACCGCAAATGGAGTGACATCCACAAAAGGAGTCGCTGACATTCATTTCGACGAATTTGACTCTACCTACTCCCCATTCGTCCTAGATGAGTCTCCTTCAGTACTGTCTGTTGGAAAGAAATGCATGGAGGAAGGATACACATTCATATGGCCAGCCTGCGGCAACCCGTACATGGTTTCCCCGAACTACAAGAAAATCATGTTAGAAGTAGAGGGAAACATCCCATATATTGTCAAGGGCAGTGACTTCTGTACTCCCACCGACGATACAAGGGCGGAGATGATCGCAAGGTTCACCCTAGGAGAAGATGAAGCTGATTACCAATCGACTTTCATCAACTGTGATGTGGATCCTCAAGGAATCATGTGTGATGATGACGACCTTCCTGTGATTGAGCCTCCAAAAGTCAAAAGACGAAAGAGGAATAAGAAGTTCAAGGCATCTCCTGGAGAAGAAGATGAGGTAGGATCAGATGACATCGAGGTGGATGTTGTTGACGGTGCAAGTAGAATGGTGAGAAGAGGAACTCTGAAAGCAGATGCCAGGAAAATCGAGCATCTACTCACACATCGTTACAAGAATCCCTACTGTGAGTCATGCATCAGAGCA